GCGAGCCGCGGAGGCGGCGCGGAGCCCCCGGGGCACGCAGCCGGGGGTCCGAGCCCCGCCGCTAACGCAGAGGGCGCGTCAAGCAGCGGATCGCCGATGCGCGGCCGCCTGCCGGGGTCTCAGTCCAGGCCCCCGCCGCCCCAAGTCGCTAATTGCCCACTGAATTGCAACTAGTCAAGCTGCCTCTACGGCTAGGCCCAACCAGCTCCTTCATTCCATCGACCATTACGATTCATTACTCCAGTGGCTCATTGTGGCCTTAACTAGTTAACTAGGCCTCCGCCGCCGAGATATGGGGAGATATGTGGAGATCGCCTTAATTACTTACTAGGCCTCCGCCGCCGAGCAGCTGCAAGCGCGCCCGCGCCCCCGGCGCAAGTTCCTTCCTCTCGCTGCCCTCTCATCGCCTCGGGGCGCCGCGCGCCGCGTCGAGCACGCCCACCACGCGGCCCGCGGCCGGCAGCAAGAAGAAGCCGCGCGCGCGCGGCGCGTCGCTCGGCGGCCCGCTCGGCGGCCAGCCCGGCCTGGCGACTTTCTTCCGGCCCGCGGCGTGACGCATCTCTCTCGTCTGGCGGAGATCGGATCTCGCGAGATGGCGCGCACCCGAGTTGGACGCTCTCGCCGCGTGTGGCGGTGAGGCGCCTGGGGTCTCACATGTCGTCAAGAAGAACGGCGTGCGCTGATGGATCGGACAGTATTCACACACGACACGCACGCCCCGCGACGTCTGGAATGTAAAGTAATCTGCACCGCACGCGGCCTTTATTTTGATCTCTACTCTTGTCTCTGGTCTCTCGCTCTCTCTTGATCTCTTGAACTAGTTGAAGAGCGGTCTATTTTCTTCGGCAGCATGACACACACCCCTCACAAGGCTACAAACACAGCGTCGTGAGACAAAACTCACGTGTCACGACCGCCCGCTCGGTGTTGCTGCTTGCTCGCCGCGTCCGCCGGCTGGTCAAGGAACGGCAGCGCTTCTCCGGCGGGCAGCGGGACGTCGAACATGTTGAGTATCGCAGAGACGGCGGAGTAGCACCTGGCGGCGTGTCATGTCCGCCCTGAAAGCGGCACAGGGGGCCGTACGCCCCTCGCAGCGCGCGACTCATGACGCGCTGCAGCTGCGTGTGCGAGTGGTGGCGTCGTGTGACATCGCGATGCCTGGCGTGGCTCTGTCTCGGTGTGTGTGCCGTGCACCCCATCGTCATGCACAAGTCGGCCATTAATGAATGAATTAATTAATTAATCTCGGTGTGTGTGCCGTGCACCCCATCGTCATGCACAAGTCGGACATTAATTAATTAATTAATTATTAATTAATCTCGGTGTGTGTGCCGTGCACCCCATCGTCATGCACAAGTCGGACATTAATTAATTCATTAATTCATTAATTACTATCGGTGTGTGTGCCGTGCACCCCATCGTCATGCACAAGTCGGCCATCCGCCGGTCGTCGCCTGGCGCGCCGGAGACGATGATTTATTGCTTAGCATCGATGAACTAATGTCTGTCGCTGAGGCGGGGCGCGTGGGCCGCACCCGGGCGAGGACCGCTGCCATGATGGGCTTCTCATGAGTTCATGGTTAGTAACGGGCGAGGCCCCCGCCGCCATGATGCTACTCGAGCTGCTCGGATGGCCGCCGCGCGCCTCCGAGCGCTACCTTGGTCGCCGCGTATGTGGGTGCCGAGACTCGCTTGGTGCGCATGAGCTCCAGCGCCAGCGAGTACACCGCCGCCTTTAACAATGCATGGGTTCATCAGTTAAGGAAGTGACAGCTAGCACGCCGCGGCCTCAATCAATTAATTCATTCATTGGGAGAGTGAGTTGTGACTCGCTTGCTGCACATGAGCTCCAGCGCCGCCTGGGCAGCCGAGCTGGCCGTCAACGGGGCGTGGGGAGGGGGTCCGAGTGTCGGGATGAAGGGTGCCGCGCGATTCCGGGCCCGACGTGTGCGTTTGCAATACAGGTCGTCTTGCTGCGGGTGTCTCTAGTCCGGCTGTGTGGCGCGGGCGAGCGGAGGCGGGCTGGGCAGCTGGCGTTGGGTCGCCTCGTCGGGCTTGAGCACACCGCGGAGCCGCTCAGCCGGCGCGCCCGCCTTGATGAGCGGGAAGGCGGCCTGCGCGCGGGCCCCGCCCGGCGAATGGCGCCTCTCAGCGTGGCACTGAGAGGCGCGAGGAGGCGGGTGGCGCTCTCGCGAGGCGCGAGGGCGCGGCGGCGCGGGCGGGTTGGGGGGGCGGCGACCTCGGCGATGCCGGCCTTGCGAGCGAGCCGCTCGTGCGCGTACCACTCGAACTGCGCCCTCCAGTGCACGCCCACCACGAGGATCGCCACCTCGTACAGCCGCGGCTCGAGCGAGTTCTGGTGGCGCACGGCGCTGGCCAGGCGCTCGAGGTGCTTCCCGAGATGCGGAGAGGCCACCTCAGCATTCCACGGCCCACGCAGCCCGCCCTGCTCGTCGAAGAGCGCCTCCTTGCCCACCACACCCGCGCGTGTCGACACGATGTCGTCGAAGAGCTCCTGCTGCGCCTCACTCAGATGCGGCGGCTGCAGCGGCGGGAGGCGCGCAGACGAAGTCGAGGCGAGGGCCATAGCTCGAAGGACGACGATGCGCCTGGTGTTGACAAGACTGCTCCGTCGGCGGGAGGCGGAGAAAACGCGCATGACCGCCTAAACCCGCGCGTCATAACACGAAGGCTAAGCTCAAAAAGAAAACGCATCAAGTTGAGTGCTCCAAGTGCAACCCTAGTCGCGATGGGAGGGGTGGCGACGAGACACGATGCCACCGCCCTCGCCCGGGGAGACCCCGGCCGGGCCGTCGACGCCCTCGGAGTCGGTGGAGCCGGGAGAGGCTGGCGAGGACGAAGGGCGGCAGCGGAGGAAGCGACACCAACAACGAGGGAAACGGCCGTCGCATGACGCTCGGGAGACGAGCAAGAGAGCGAATCAAGGAGGGTCGGAACCCTGGGAAGACGGGGGGTGAGCCCTCAGGCGGGGGGGTCTGGCCCAATTCACTGTCCCATCTCCTCGATTCTCGTTCCCACCTAGGCGGGGCGGGGGCCGGGGGGGGGCGGGGGGGCGGGCGCGGGGTGCGGGGTGCGGTGCGGTGCGTGCAATCGTGTGTTTGGCGTCATGTGATGTGTGCCTTTGCTTGTTCCTATTAACAACGAAGGATAAATTTCAAGATTACCCGGTTTTTGAGATTCGCCTCGCAGATTACCCGACGAACGATATTTTCCTGCTTAGCGCGATTTCCGTCAAACCAGTTTACCCAGTCTCCCACAGTTCGTGTTTCAGCTTACCCGGTCGCTAAAATTTTTCATGTCAGATTACCCGGTCGGCCAAATTTCTCGTCCAGATTACCCGGCAACGATATTTTCCTGCTCAGCAGCAATTTCATAAAAAAAATTGAGAAACCAGTTTACCCAGTCTCCCACAATTCGTGTTTCGGCTTACCCGGCCGCTAAATTTTTTGGGTGATCCCCTGTGCCCTGTGCCCAGCCCCTGAGCCCTGGCCTCGACACCTCGACACCAAACCTCGACACCAACTCGACACCAACTCGACACCTCGACACCCCATGCCAACTCGACCAACTCGACACCCCTCGACACCCCTCGACACCCCTCGACACCCCTCGACACCATCTAGGCTGAAACCATGCTCGACCGTGTCAAGGTGCCAAACTCGACACCTCGACACCCCTCGACACCCCTCGACACCGCTCGACACCCCTCGACACCGCTCGACACCGCTCGACACCGCTCGACACCTCTGATGATCCTAACACAGCAGAGATGTATAGACCCATTGGAGTCAGAGTTAGAAATCAGGGTTGCAGCAGCAATCAAACTTGGCTGGCAGTACTTTCATCCCTGAGTTGCAGCCTCTCAAGTTCTAGCTCAAGTTGCAGCTCAGTTGCACCCCTGTTGATGCAGCAAACATGGCAGTACTCAGGTAGCCCTCAGGTGCTGCACAGCACCTTGTACAGTGGCAATGAATCCTCACACCAGTGAGCTTGTGCCATGAGTGCAGACCTGTGGTCCATTGCGCTTTGTGCACTGGCGACGCTTGGCTGCAACGGCGACGCTGCAGCGGCGGCGACGCTGCTGCGATGGGGTACTGGCAGCCCTTAGCTGCTGGACAGCACCTTGTGCAGTGGCAATGTCCACTGACTCATGGCACCAGCCTTGTGCCATGAGCGCTGTGGTCAGTTGCGCTTTGTGCGCCGGTGGCGCTGCAGGGGCGACGCTGCTGCAGCGGCGACGCTGCTGCGGTGCTGCGCCTGCACAGTACCTTTGTGCACAGTGGCAATGACTCCCGGCACTTGATGTCCTCAAATGTCCACAGAGAGTATACTGGTTGTGCTCAGGTTGTGCTACATCAACAGGGTGCAACTGAGGCTGCAACTAAGGGATGAAACAGCTCTTTGCAACTGCTGCCCAAGTTTTGTTGATGGGCTGCAACTGCATCCTGCCACCTTGGACACCTCGACACCTTAGACGCAAAACCCCTTGACAACACTCGACACCTGCTCGACACCCTCGACACCCTCGACACCCTCGACACCCTCGACACCCCTCGACACCCCTCGACACGGTCAAGCATGGTTTCAGCCTCGACAGGCCTCAACAGGCCTCGACAGGCCTCGACAGGCCTCGACAGGCCTCGACAGGCCTCGACACCTCTATCCCTCGACAGCAGCTCGACAGCAGCTCGACACCCTCGACACCGGGCCTCGACACCTCGACACCAGGGCTCAGCCCAGCCCTCTCCGCGCGGCGATGCGCCCTCCCCCCTCGCTTTTGCAAAATCCTGCAAAGGTGGGGATGTGTCTGTCCTCGACCCAGCCCTAGCTTGGGATGTTCGTTTCATTTATTCATTTATTTAACTAAGTCACTAGAGATGCGGCGTCGCGGCGTCCGCGTACGAGGCGTTCCTCAGCAGCCAGTCGAACTGGTCGCGCGTGAGGTTCGTCTTCTCAACCGGGACGTGGTGGCCTCCGCGGTTGCAGCGCTCAAGCTCCGAGCTGTTGTACCAGCACGGGTCGTAGGCGGAGAGGCTCTCGAGGGCGGCGGTCGCATTGGCGTACACGCGACACGCGCAAACGCCGAAGAATGCGGCGACGGGCAGGCCGCCCGACACGTTTGCCGCCCCGAGCAACTTGCGGTAAATCGGCGCCTTGCCGGCCTCGCTGACGGCCATGTCGAACGGGTCGCGGAACTGCGAGATTGTTCACGGGCGCCAAGGCAGGGGCCGTGAGGCGGTGGCGGCGGTGCGGGGCGGGCGATTCAGGCATGTGCAGGCAGAGGCTTGCCGGCTTGATAAGCCAGGGGCAGAAGAGCGGCAGGTACTGTGGCCGTGCGAGGCCGCCGAGGTTGAGCACCTATACTCGAGACCTCGCCACTTCAGGCGCCTCGTGACGCTCCCCGACGCGAGGCACCCGCGGATTGTCCACCGGCCGGCCCAGAAACTCTGGCAGCGAGCAGTTCTGCAGAGGCGGCGGCAGCCAGCCGTCTCGCGGCGCGGCGGTGTAGTTGCGCACAACCTCGTCCAGCTTCTTCCAGTTGATCACGATGCCTACTCTCAGGAGCGTCGCCGTATGGTTCACACCGCGTACCCGCTGAAAGCAAAGCAAGGCGATGCCGGCGTCCGGGTCCATCCCGACTCGCGATGACTGCTTCGCATTCACATACCGGGGCTGCGCCTGCAACGTCGCATACCAGCCCAAGGCCTGCAGCGGCAGAGTTGTTGCGAAGGACATTGGTCCTCCTGCGACTGTAGTCGACTGTAGAACGCGCGTGACCAACCTCTCACAGACAGCGGAGAGAGCCGATAGGACGTATTTTCTTCCACCGATCTTCAACTGAGCCCCCCAGGGGGACCATCGGTGCCTGCAGAGCGAGGCTTGTGAAAGAGGCGCTCGGACACACACGTGAACGAAACGGAGGCGCCTGATTTTCTTCTCAATGTGGCGGGGGTGGGCGGGTGCACGGAGCTAAGTGCCTCGCCACCCTCGCAGGAGTCGCTTAGGCGGCTCCCGTGGTGTCCTCGAGAGATACACGCGTTGCTTTATCGGATCCTTTCTTTAGGGTTTAAATTCTTTCCGGTTGTAAAATTCTCAGGCGTCGGCGTCATGGGCGACATCGTGCGCGCCGGCTGGGTCACCAAGGAGTCGCGGCACTGGGGACGGTGGCGGCTGCGCTGGCTCGAGCTGGTGTACGAGGAGGGGACGAGCGTTCCAAACCTGTGCTCCTACAAGGCGGCGCGCATGCAGTGGCCGGAGGAGCCGCCCCGGCCGACTGAGCGGCTTCCTCTGGTGGGCGCGACGTGCTTCCCGTGCCCTGACGACGGCACCATGGCCGCCGGTCGGCCGCACGCCTTCGCCCTCAACCTCCGCGGGCGAGACTTTGTATTTGCGACCGAGACGGCCGACGAGGCGGTCGAGTGGGTGCGCTCGCTCTCGCTCGCCATCGCGGAGCTCGCTCTGCGCCTCGGCGGCGTCGAGCCGTCGAGCATGCTCGCGGGCGGCGTGCCTTCGCCATACGAGCCCTTCAACGCCGCTGCAACCGCCGCCGCCGCCGCCGCCGCCGGTCTAAACAGCCGCTCCGCCGAGTCGGCGTCGGCGTCGGCGTCGTCCGTCTCTTCCGGAGCGTCGTCGCGCTCCTCGCGTGGCGCGCTGCGCACTGCCTCGTGCGCAGAGTCGCTGCGCGGTTCGGCGCCGTCGCGCGTGACCGACGGCGGCGCACCCGAGGCGCCGCCCCGCGCGGACGCTGCCGCCGCCGCCGCCGCCACCGCTAGCGCTGGCGCTGGCGCTGGCGCTGGCGCTGATGGCGGTGGCGTTGGTGCGTCGGCTCCCATCGGCGCCGTCGCTCCCGGGTCAGCGGCAGAGGGCGCGATGGCGGCGGCGGCGGCGAGCGCCCGGCGGGCGGAGAGAGGCGCGGCGAGCGACCGCGCGCCCTCGCTGAACAGCGTCTCGCCCTCGCTGAACAGCGTCGACCAGATGGCGCGTCTGCTCA